GCACTTGGGTTTTCCAGCACAGCGGGAGGTACATACCTTATTTTGATTGGGTCCCAGGTGAACCTTCCAATGGCGGGATTCAGCGCTGCATGTCATTGTGGTTGTCTAGAGGTGCCCGGATGGATAACATCCACTGCTGGAGGGTTGGTTCAGTTGTTCACTTTGCCTGCGAGGTGCCTAGCTCGGCTGATTTGTAAACGATTATGAATTAAACCAATCCGAATTGAACAGGTGTTGTTTTTCAGTTTTTTTTTCATTGTTTTGTAGTTGAAATTGCAATGGTGTAAATTAATTGTTTTTTGTTTACAATTTGAAGAAAAGTAAACAATGGAGGAGTGTCATGTAACTGTACACATTGGCACGTTATCGCATCAGAAGGTCTATGTAACATGTTATTGCAGCAGAAGGTCTATGTAACATGTTATCCCAGCAAAAGGTCTATGCAACATGTTGACGCAGCAGAAGGTCTATGTAACATGTTATCCCAGCAAAAGGTCTATGTAATAATTAGTAACATGTTATCGCAGCAGAAGGTCTATGTAACAATTAGTAACATGTTATCGCAGCAGAAGGTCTATGTAATAATTAGTAACATGTTATCACAGCAGAAGGTCTATGTAATAATTAGTAACATGTTATCGCAGCAGAAGGTCTATGTAACAATTAGTAACATGTTATCGCAGCAGAAGGTCTATGTAATAATTAGTAACATGTTATCGCAGCAGAAGGTATATGTAATAATTAGTAACATGTTATCGCAGCAGAAGGTCTATGTAACATGTTGTCGCTGCAGAAGGTCTGTGTAATATGTTGTCACAGCAGAAGTTCTATGTAACATGTTGTCGCAGCAGAAGGTCTATGTAACTTATTATCACAGCAGAAGGTCTATGTAACAATTAGTAACATGTTATCACAGCAGAAGGTCTATGTAACATGTTTTCGCTGCAGGTCTATGTAACATGTTATCACAGCATAAGGTCTATGTAATAATTAGTAACATGTTATCGCAGCAGAAGGTCTATGTAATAATTAGTAACATGTTATCGCAGCAGAAGGTCTATGTAACAATTAGTAACATATTATCGCAGCAGAAGGTCTATGTAATAATTAGTAACATGTTATCGCAGCAGAAGATCTATGTAACAATTAGTAACATGTTATCGCAGCACAAGGTCTATGTAACATGTTTTCGCTGCAGGTCTATGTAACATGTTATCACAGCATAAGATATATGTTATAATTAGTAAAATGTTATCACAGCTGAAGGTCTATGTAACAATTAGAAACATGTTATCACAGCAGAAGGTCTGTGTAACATGTTTTCGCTGCAGGTCTATGTAACATGTTATCACAGCATAAGTTATATGTAATAATTAGTAACATGTTATCGCAGCAGAAGGTCTATGTAATAATTAGTAACATGTTATCACAGCAGAAGGTCTATGTAATAATTAGTAACATATTATCGCAGCAGAAGGTCTATGTAATAATTAGTAACATGTTATCGCAGCAGAAGGTCTATGTAACAATTAGTAACATGTTATCGCAGCAGAAGGTCTATGTAATAATTAGTAACATGTTATCGCAGCAGAAGGTCTATGTAATAATTAGTAACATGTTATCGCAGCAGAAGGTCTATGTAATAATTAGTAACATGTTATCGCAGCAGAAGGTCTATGTAATAATTAGTAACATGTTGTCGCTGCAGAAGGTCTGTGTAATATGTTGTCACAGCAGAAGTTCTATGTAACATGTTGTCGCAGCAGAAGGTCTATGTAACATGTTATCACAGCAGAAGGTCTATGTAACAATTAGTAACATGTTATCACAGCAGAAGGTCTATGTAACATGTTTTCGCTGCAGGTATATGTAACATGTTATCACAGCATAAGGTCTATGTAATAATTAGTAACATGTTATCACAGCAGAAGGTCTATGTAATAATTAGTAACATGTTATCGCAGCAGAAGGTCTATGTAATAATTAGTAACATGTTATCGCAGCATAAGGTCTATGTAATAATTAGTAACATGTTGTCGCAGCATAAGGTCTATGTAACAATTAGTAACATGTTATCGCAGCAGAAGGTCTATGTAATAATTAGTAAGATGTTATCGCAGCAGAAAGTCTATGTAATAATTAGTAACATGTTATCGCAGCAGAAGGTCTATGTAATAATTAGTAACATGTTATCGCAGCAGAAGGTATATTTAATAATTAGTAACATGTTATCGCAGCAGAAGGTCTATGTAACAATTAGTAACATGTTATCGCAGCAGAAGGTCTATGTAATAATTAGTAACAGGTTATCGCAGCAGAAGGTCTATGTAACAATTAGTAACATGTTATCGCAGCAGAAGGTCTATGTCATAATTAGTAACATGTTATCGCAGCAGAAGGTCTATGTAACAATTAGTAACATGTTATCGCAGCAGAAGGTCTATGTAATAATTAGTAACATGTTATCACAGCAGAAGGTCTATGTAATAATTAGTAACAT